GATTTGTTGTCATTACGGAATATGAAAGTTAAACACTAGAAGCTTGCTAACACATTCAAAGGTGTAATGTGCAGTATGAGCAAACATAGACGTCATAAGCCAGTCTTTTCACCATCCATCCATCCATCCATCCATCCATCCATTTTTCATTTTCATTTAATTTTAAAGTACATAACCATCACCCTCTCTATACGTTGCAGTTTAGATTTGGTGGATCTATTCTGGGATCGTCTCTCCTTGCCGATTGCAAAAGCATGAGGAAGAGAGCGTTAATGTCAATAATGACAGTGATTAAGTTATATACAGAGCTGGTTAGTTTTTATTGAAAAGAAAATTAAAATGGATGGTTTAGATTTACCAACCGAACACAGAGAGGAAAAAAGTTGTTTAATCAGATGATGTATGCCGTCTTTGACATTTTCTGCTCTAATGATATGTGAGCTGAGCTTGGAAGCATGGCTTGTTGGAGTTAATGCTAAAAAAAATTAGTTCAATGTTTGTGGGGGGAAAAAAGCTTTTTGGTGTTGAGATTGGCTTCACTGTTGTTTTTCTCAACACAGAAAAAGGAAGCCGTCTTGAAAAACTTTGCAGCATGCCACTAAAATTAATAACAGAAGAAGAAGTATTGATAAGAGATAAGATAAGACAGAGCTGTATTCATCCCAAAAGCGGAAATTTTTCTTGTCACAAAAGCAGCAGGATACCAGGTGGTAAAAAAAGAGACAAACATAAATACAATATTTCCAAAAGAATAGCAACCTAAAAATGATAAATTCACATTCTGAATAGATATGCTGTAACAAAAAAACCCAAAAAACAAAAACAAAGTGAGACAGAATACACTGCTCATACAGAACACTTTGTAAATGATAAATTACCGACTGTATCAGCATTGGCTGTTGAATACCCTAATATCAGATAAGATAAAAGATTAACTGAGACGTTCACTCCTGCACTCAGTCTGAAGCTGAAGGAGCTGCTTAAAGCTCCCACACTGTGGTGCCAGGGGGGGGATAGATGGCACGCATGATAGATGTCAGCTTGTATTGGTCAGCCACAGAGTCCAGTGCCTGCATGTTTACCGTATGAGGCTGTTGTGACCTTAACATTTGTTCAGCCACCATCTCCTTTGATTTGCAGTTCATTATAAATGGATATTAAGATTCTCAATATACATATACAATTACCTGCATATGAAAAGATGAAGATGAAGACCTGGATTTTAGCGGCAAGAAAAGCAATAACAAAACTTACATCCAAAGAATAGATGAACGATATGATATCATCGATTTGTGAATGGAACTGGTAAGAATCACTCTCTCATTTAATATTTGAAAAAACCTGGAGGATATGGAAATTATATATTTTCATTCAATTTGTCCTCTGAACAACAAGAGACAAAAAACTTCTAAATAAGTTTAACTACATATATTTGAAAACTAAAGCATCTCACACTGAAACTATCTGTGAAACTATCTGGATCTGTTTTTGCCCGTCTCGTCTTTAAGATGGCTGTCAGCTCACTCCTGGTCTCCCAGAGTGGAGATTTGTCATGCAGTCTCTGGTCTTTTACAGGCTGTAGGATAGCTGAATTCATTCCCTTATGGTTTGCATTAGTACACATGGTTGTCCCTGGGAGTCATAATTGGAATTTATAGTACTGATTCACTGCTGCTTCAAACACAAGAGTCAGCAGTGTGTCAGCCCTGTGATCATGGGGGGGATTTCTCCAGGTTGTAGCCCTCCTCTTGCTCAGTGTCAGCTGGAAAGTTTTTCATTATTCAGTCCCCCTTCCAGAAATATAAGTTGGTGTTGGGTATGTGTTATGGGATGGTTGGATCATGGATAGATAGTTCACAGGTTTGGATTATTTTTGACTAATGGTAATAAATGATAAATATTCAAAATATTGAATTTTTTAAAATATTTTGAGAAAAAGTTCCTATAAAACTTCAAACAAAAAAAAATTCTCTCAGTTTTTCCTTGGATCAGGCTTTAAAGGGTTAACTTTTGAGATGACTCTCAGTTTTAGTGCTGTGAGAAACCTGTTAAATGTTATTGATCACTGTGCATTAGTGACAGATGATTAGCATTAGTGCTGTTTTGAGTTGTGAAGTGCTCCACAAACCGCTGCGTGATGATGACGAGCTACTTGCTTATGGTTGGGTCGCGTGTTGTTGTTTCTGCCTACAGATTTTCCGGTGTCACGATGAGTAATGGGCGTCCTGGCTATGCTTAAACATCACTGGCTCTCTCCCCTCTCCTGTGCTATTCTGAGAATGTGTGTTGTCATTGTTTTTTTGCAGCACCTTGTCATGTCTGATTTCCTCTCCAGTTCGCTCCCCAAACCCAGAGGGCCAGCTGCTTCCAACTGCAGGGCCTTGCATCCACACAGCTTTTCCCGCTTGGCCTACGGCGGTCGCCCTGTCGTCTGGCTTTAGATGTAGCAGAACAGCAGCTAGTTTACAGATAATTATCAGCCTGAGACCAGCTGTGTGGCACACATCCATGGGCTCTGTGTTGTTAATTGAATTAGACCCCACGCTGCAAGTGACTGAGAAATGAACTGCTTTCCCCAGTGGGACATGTGATTGGCTGACCTGGAGAGGACATTTAAAATCAGGATGGCATGTTGGTTTCTGGGCTTTCCGCTGGACTGGCGGACTGTCCAGGGTGTACCCCGCCTCTCGCCCATTGACCATTGGGATAGGCTCCAGTTCTCCCCGCGACCCCATTAGGGAGAAAGCGGTAACGATAATGGATGGATGGATGTTGGTTTCTGTAGTTTTTGTCAGGACTCAAAGTTTGCGTTGCATTCTCCCTGACACTGATTGTCTCTTGCAGGTTTTATTCAGTGACCTGTGCCAATCAGGGTCAACAAAAGCAAAAAATAGGCCATGGTCGTTGTCCAGCTCTGTGCTTAACATTTAACAAGGTTGTTACAATACTGGATGTAGGCCACTGTGTCCAGAACTCTTGTTTGGAAAAGGAGTGACTAATTCAGAGTTTTTAGCCTTGTACTTTGTGATGAAGAGGTCACTGGTGAAATCTCTCCGTGATGACTCTTATATGCAGACTGGCCATGTGCATTAATGCTTATCACAGCACCATCAAACCTTTCTGTAGATTTATCTTAGACAGATTTGTCTCTCCAGACAAGATTTATCTCCAGTTTTCTGCAGCTTAGTTAATGTTGTTGTGTTTTTCTTTTATTTGTAATTATGCTTAATTAATGTTGTCGTATTTTTTAAAGATGTTGTGTTTTTCTGTTTGTGGTTGTGACTAGCCCTGAAATTAGAAGGTTCTTCTGTACAGTGTGCCTGCTCATAACATCAGTGCTGAGTTGGCACCTTTTTTGCATTAAGACATAATTAAATTCCTAACATCCACAGCTGCTATTAAACTCTACCGAATGGATCGTGCAAGTGGAAAATAATAGATATCTTTGACAGGATTAGAAAGCTAATAGCAGCAATCCTCTGTCACTTCCCTGGTTTTATTAGCTTGTGAGGAGTTCTATGGCTGGTAGTGTGCTATGTAGTATAAACAAACCTTTCTGCTGTGCAGCCATTTTTATTCTTTTGCCCATCTTTCCCACCAAGTGTGTGATGTTTGCCAGGGCCACCTGCCAAGTGTATAAATCTGCGCTGGGGAAAGTAGGCCATGTGGGCTGATGACTGACACAGGGCTTTTGTGAAGATTGGTGATTCTCTGAGGTTTATTTTGAGATGTATGGTGCATCATTTACTCCCATTGTTTGCCCAATGAACATCTTGGCTGTGTTGGCCTGCAAACAGGGATTGGCTACTGTATTTCTCCTCATCTCGTATTTGTGCGTCCACGCTGTGTTGTTGTGTCCTCAACGGCTCGCAGTTGTGATTGGTACATTGTTATGAAATGTGACACAAGTTATTTGGTTGTCCTCTTAATTATTTATATCCGCGTCTGCTGGATGTGAAAATTGGGTTGTTGTGCTCCGCAGAGCAGCAGATCTGTCATTCTCACGGTGCAAAAATGAATGTCACGAGAAAGAAGTACTGTCCTATGAGAGCAGCAGATAAAGGGTTTCTATTATTTATGGTAATACTGTTTTTAGAATGCTTTTCATAATTTAAAATGTGATACATTTACACGAGTCGTCTTACCGGGACGCATCGCACACGTGTGAAGAAGTCTTCAGGTTGTTTATAGCTTTTCATTTTGCCGTTATTCTGCTTCTTGCCACATAAAATCTTCATATGCGCCTCTTTATCCAAAAGAAAAGCCATGTGTGTTGATGCATCCCCTCTTCTCGCTGAATCTGGCCCTCACCACATTACATGATAGCATTTTGCACCTGTGTGCCACAGAGACCATGAAAGAAATTTATTGGCCGGGAGTCCTGCTATTTGACTCGCAAGACGTGGCTAACAGATCCTGTGCCATTTCCCATCTATTCCCGCCCCTGTGCTATGCTGACCTTTCCTGCCTCGAGGCTATATTTAAACTGTGAGCACCAGAGACTTATGGCGCCATGGGGAATTTTATTATCAATCCTCTCCATTTGTCTGACTTAATTCCGGCCCGCAGTAGATCGTGCATGCTGTATATTTACGCTCTTGCAGAGCAAACAAGGGCACCAGTGACAAACCCAAACATCAACACCTCAGCGGGGGGGGGGGGGGGGGGTGTGGCAAAACGTTTCTTTAAATTGTTCATAGGAAAAGCCAATAGATTGTACCATAGGTTGTATTGACGGAGTTCTTCCCCTACAGCGGAATGTAAGAGGAATAAAGAAAAGGAGGGTTTAATGAGGAGAGACTTGACATTTTAAAAACCTCAGACACATTCATCAGCCTTTACAACTTGTCATCATTAGGCCAGAGAACAGCCTGAATCACTTCATGAACACACTTGAGCACTTGAGCCACCCACATATGTATTCTCTTTCAAGATCTTGTCCAGACATCTTTTCAAGCGTTCACATGCACTTTTTCTTTTTTTTCCATGCACACCCGTAGATCTGAGATGGATGTTCAGAGGGTACTCCAGGTGGATCTGAAAATGGAAAGCTTCCCGGAGCCGACGGGCAGCCGCTGGATGGCCTGGCAGGTGGAGTACCCAGGCAGTCGCACGGCCACACAAGAGGCCGAGACAGAGATCCGGCTGGCACAGGAAGAACTGGCAGGCATCGTGCCTCTTGCCATGGTGAGTAATGCCACTTCCAGCTCAGCGCAGCGCCAAAATACATGGCTGCACACTCATTACCCTGAATGTGAAATGGTGCATCCTGTAGGGAATGTAGGGCACCATATTCTAAATTTACACTTTGGATCAAAATTTGCATATTAACAACATGAAAGGAATATATTGTTTCAGAGATGGCCAAGAACTGCTACTCTTTTAATCATGACTCGTAACAACGCGCTAACCAAATATACTAAAACTAGGTTGATGCACTTTGGCAACACATATTCATTTAGACTTTATTGTTTTGAAATTGTGGTATGACTTTTCTTTAGTTCCTTTCTATTAGTCTCCAGGGGCTCTCCTCCATGGATTTGTGTTCCCTTTGGTGCCATTATATTATTCAGATAGGCTTATGATGCTTGTTGCAGATTTCTTTCCTTCCCGCAGTACATTTCTGTACTATTTTAGACAAAGTTTGACTCTGTTCTTTGACACACTTTCATATTAAGTTGTTGTTTGGAAAAGTTTTGGTCAACACAATGATTTGGTTAACTTCAGAAAAGCAACACGTTTTGGCTTGACATAGACCTTTTCACATTGTTTACCATGCCTTTAGCTCAGGTTTGATCTCTAGTGTTGCCGTGTTGATGAGTACAGCTCTAGTGATAATAGTTTCACTCGACTTCCGCCCGGTTTTAGACAGATTGTAGTCTTGTCACACTCGGTCAGTATAACGCTGTATCCTGTGAGAGCGCTCAGTTTTCTTTAACAACTGGAGAGGAACCTTTCTGCCAGAACCTCCCCTAAGTGAACACTGATGTGTGGCCATGCAAGCATATGTGTTTAGCAGGGGCCTCAAGAGCGGTGATGCCAAATAAGAACATTTCATGTGGTTCTGTTTTGCTGTTGTGTGGGTACACAAAAAAGTGGTATGGATTTCAATGGGAAAAAACCTTGAAATCTGACTGTTTTGACTGTTAGATATGAATGTATCCATCAAATTGGGCTTTTACCTGACAAACACTTTACATAATAATTATATGGTTATACACTATGACTGACTAACCCCAACCAGTCTATAGTACCGACAGGCTATTTCTTATTTCAAACTTATACTTAGCTATTTTTATTCTATTTTGTACCCAGACACTTCAGCATATGGCATAGGGAATTTAGGAGTCAAACCACCAACTTTCCAACTGACAGAACGCCTTTTCCGTTGAGCTGCAGCCACCTCAAAGATACCTCATGCACAATCATGATGCATTTCCAAAAATATTAAAACGATTAGAAAAAAGTCAAACAATCAAGATGTCACTGAAATAAATAGATTTGCCTGTGGTGTGCAGAAATATGCCTTTTAAATAAAGAGAACATTTTGTATGAATACTGAACTGAATAAATCAAATTAATAGCAACGGTACTTCAAATAGCATGCAACACATTATAGGCCAATCAGATGGCTTTGGATGAATGCACGGACTACTCTGAGCAGAACAGATTCCTGAAGATGATTCACTCTCTCTTTGATATAACAATTCCAATCATATCTGTTCTAAACAGAACTTTACATTTTACATTTGACATTTTACTCAACTGATCTATTTCATGTCACAGACGTTGTTTGTCACCCCTTAATCACTGTGTGAGTCAGGATTTTGGGCACTGAGAAGGTCGAGGTGACTTTCAGCCTGTATCTACAGAGTGTATTTAGGAGTAGAACAGAGGGGAATGTCTATTGCTCACAGCAGGCCTCAGATAAAATCTTGAGGCTGGCTCTGACCTGAGGGTAAGCCTGAAGCTGAGTGTCTCTGCAAGGCGCAGGTCGTCTGTTGAGTAGATTTACCACTATTGAAGTTCACATTGATAATCTTTCATAAATGTTTGAAGCTTTGTTCTGCAACCCAGAGAGGGTGAGAGAGTGAGAGTGAGAGAGAGAGCATTGCTTTTGATATAGATCAGAGACATTCAGAAAAAGAAATGAGAGAAATCAATTGTATTGACTAAAAAGAAAGACACACTGTCACGTCACAGCTTATTGCTGAAGATTACAAAGAATGCATTCATTTCTATTTTGGTGCTTCTGATCTGCATAATACAGACCTGACTTTTGTTTGATTGTTAATCTCAAAGTATTGCCCATAGCTGTGTAGATGATAGATGCCTGTGGGTGGCTGTTTCTCAATTTAGAAAAGAATGAGGCATTCTCACCCACCGATCCATTGTCAGGATAATTGAAGTCGTATGTTTAATGTTCTGTTATTGTTCCAGTTCCTTCTGTGGCATCTTTTTCATGTCACTCACAGTGTAGTGAGAAAAAAGTAAAATAACTTTCAAATTTCAAACACATTTCAAATGTATTTGAAATTTAGAACCTGAACTTTATGTGAAACAGAAGAATAACGTCTATTTGAAACAGTTTTGTTTCGAATTGTGAGCTGTTTTTTTCTCTATTTTTTAAACCCATTTCTCTCTGTTTGCATCATCACTCAGACAATTTATCAAAGTGAGCCGCATCTTCAGCCACTGTATGGAACACACAGTACAAATATTTATACACCAAAAGACAGCTATAACTCATTAACTCTGTCTTCCACTGCCCCTTTTCTTAACTCTTTCTCCCACACTCTTGTTCACAGACACACACACACACACATACACAAACACACACACAGACAGAAGGCTTTTCCAATCTGCATGCACCAATATGAGAGGAGCACACAAGCGCGAAAGAGGAAGGCTGAATTAGATTACTTGAGTTCACTGTGGCATGAAAAGGCCCACAGATAAGGTCCTCTCCCTCCTCCCCACTACATTCATCTCTGATAGAAAAAAGGAAGTAAGGTAATGTAAAAGCATTGCCTTCATCCCCTCTTACACTAACACACACAAGATACATCACCACACACTGTCACTTTCTCCCGGCACAACACGGTCAAATTCAAATTCATCATGGCTTCTTTTTTTTATGGAAAACTGAAGCAGCTCTAATAAAATTGAAGTTGGAGAAGAAGCACACTTGATGGGTATTTTAAATTAGAATTTATAGTAGCCACATAAATAATGATGGTAACTGTTAATATAGTGAGACCATGGAAATGTTTAAACCTCTAATGAGAGGAAGAAAAAGAAAAAGACTTAAAAAGAGCCGTAAACAAGCAACACGAGTACAAATAAGATGTCTGCCCCTCCAAATGCAGAAACAGTAGTTGGTTTAAAATACTTACTTCGTTCTCCCTTGGGATATAAATAGATAGATATTCGTAAAAGCTAAAGATGAATATAGCCAAGAATTTCCATAATCTGCAGGCTAGACTGGCGGATCTACAGTTTAATAAACATCACATGAAAGAAAGGTTAGCAAATAAGTTTCTTTCATGGCACTGTGACAGAAATATCTGTCTATGCATTGTTGTTAGCAGCAATAAAGTTCCTCCAAAGTGAATTGAATATTTCTAATGTGTTCCCTTTGGTACTTTTGTGTATGTTTGAATTTTGGAACATATCTAAGATCAAGGTTGAAATTGGATAAATGTAATGGATAAAATAAAGCAAAACAAAATGGGGGAGTGGGGAGGCGAGGGTGTTAAGGGGGAGTTGCGGTGAATGAGAGATAGAGTGAAACAAAAGCCTAATTCTCGAATCTTGTTTTAATCAAATTAAGAGGGGAGACTTCACGGAGCACACAAAGAGCTTCTGTTGACACAAAAGCTTCTACAGAAAATCTATTCATCTGTAATTAGCTCTGATTAGTCTGACACGTTGTGACTGAAATTTAAAAGTGATCCTGCAAAATAAGATTTAGTTTTATCTAGATCAGAATAAAACTCCAAATGAAGATCTATTGCTAATGGTTATTCTAAAGGTCACAATGTAATAAAGCTAATGTCCACTGGTAATTGGAAGCTTATTTTGGTTTTGATCACATTTATGGTCCATTACTTCAGTGGCTTCTCCGGCCCAGTTCCTGCACATTTATGGCGTGCTGTAAATTATTGCACCCCTGCCAGGGTCGGTTATACTAAAACAAAATCAGTGTATTGCATTACTAATGCCAAACGATGGGCTTTGCCATGGGAGACACTTGCAGGAAAGCAGGGCCATCGTATTGAAAGAGGGGCTCTTTATTTCAGCTCTCTTTGAAGAAGGTTTCTTCGTCTGTGTTGTCACATCCCCACCTAGTCTGGGAGGGCTTAGAGCACCGCTCAGCTACTTTGTCACCGGTTTGAAATTATAAGACGTTTTGCAAATGCAACAATTTTTTGAAAAGCTGAAAATGAAAGCTTTTGAAAATGAAATCTGTCAACTGTAACACCACTTACACCTAGGGTAATTTCACCAGTTTTTTTGGGATGCTTTTCACACCTACATTAGCACCAAACAAATACACATCTGATAATGATATTTCTGTAGATATATTGCCAGAAAGGCGTTCTCTGCCTTTCTGTGATGGCATCCTAATTTCACTTTGTTTTTTGCGTGTGGATTTTTAGGCAATCTTGTGATTGAACAAAAACATGGTCACAGTCGGAGGCTGGTTCATTATCTTTGACTATTGTGAAGTAATATGCTCCTGTCCAGTCTGCCCTTATCGTCATTAGCCATGCTGCGGAGGCCTGGTGATGGAGACAGAGCACGAGGACAGGGCATACATCATATCAAGACTCATCAGTCTTCCTGTTCCAGCCGAGACACCAAACTGTGCTCACTCACACGAGAGTTTGAAGGCATAGAGATGAGGAGAAATGAAAGCAGCCATTTGTATTCACATACTGCTCCAAAGTATTGTTAAACAATACATCATCACCCTGGCCTTCTCTGGCCACTTCGGCTCTCACATGATAAAGTCATCTATCAACATTGTCCAATGAATGTTTTATTTTACTTCTTTCCATTCTCTTCTCTCTGTTGCAATGCACATCTTTTCTGCCAGGCAAGTGAAATGTGGAGGACAATTTATCAAACACATTGTTAGACATACAGACACGAGCACTTACAGGCCAGCTAATCCCGGCAGA